CAACTATAAAGGTAAAATAGCGTAACAAGCCAAAAACTACTAAAACATGTTTTAAGTTAAAATATGCAAACACTGGTAACTAAAAGCTAAAAACGAGCTAAAAGAAAACGTAACTAAAATAAGTAAAATAGTGCAACTAGCTAAAAAAAACAACAACACACAAACAAAAGACCACAAATAGGGCTAAAAAAAAAAGTGAGGAGGAGCTAAAATTGAGCCCCAAAAACAGGTATATATTGATGCAATAAATGAAGATTTAAAGATAAAATAAATAAACCAAAGTTAACTAAAACCGGGCCAAAAACTAAAAGGATTCAAAATGACAAATGTTCCTGTTTGCAGTGAAGGGCGGCCCTCTCAAGATGTTCGCGTGTTGCTCTAACTTCCATCTCTGATTTCACGACTCGTTTCTCTGACAGGTGACGTCACGGTTCAGATCTGATGGATCCAGGAAGGAGACGAGGACGCCACCGAGGCTCTTGCTGTAAATAGAGACATCCTTTGCTCCGGACTGTGGATAATCTTTTGAGAACCAAACGCTTGTTCTCGAACTCTACGGACAAAAAGAGAAGCTCTGCTCCTTCAGGACGCGACGTGATCAGCTTTACGGGACAACACGAATTCATCAGACACCGTACGGCTCGTAGTGGATAAACTTCGCCTATATGTTCATCTTTAGAGCAACACGGACCTAAACACCAGTTTGTCCTCAGCGACCAACGAGCCGGTGTCTTTCTTTAACAAGGTGTAGATTGAACAGCTCCAACAGGTGAGAACAGGAGGCTGAACAGAAAATATTCAGGGGAGTTTTAAATAAAAAGACATTTCTTCATAATTTGTGCTTTACTTGTTCCACACAACCCAGACAGTTACCAAACCTGAGCAACACATGAACTGATCTGTCGTTCCCGAGCACCTCGTGTTCCACGGTCAGCTCCAGATTTTGGATGAAAGTATTTCAGCTGGGAAATAAAGTTTCCTAAAGCAGTTCAAAACTTTGACGTTCTGATCAGACCGGTTATTGCTGACACGTCTTCAGTCTGTGTAAGTGATGACAACAGTAATAAACTACGATTGTGTAACAAAAAATCTCGTCTTTTAACCATTTATCTTATAATTATGGCTCTTTGTTTTATCCACTGTGGGAAAATCATGAACAGAAACCTGTGCATTGAATGTCTTTTACTATTATAAACAGTTTTGTGTTTTTGTGTACATTATACACACACACAAATATATCAGTGTTTCCTAGACCTGTCGCGATAAACAATAAATCAATTAATTTCAGGATAAATTAAAATTATCAACCTCATTTTCATTTAACGCTTTATCGTTTCTTCGTCTCTCTACTGAAGACACTGGATGACAAAAGGCTCAACTCAGGTGTTCTTCACTGACCCCTCCCTTTCAAGTTTCTCTTTAAAATCCATTTTAACCGTCAAAATTCACGTTTTTTGGAACATTAAAAGCAGCTAAGCTATGAGCTAAGCTAACAGGCCAACGTCGGGGAAAAAATCCCCGTCTTGTCGAAGCTCCAAAATTCACGGTTGAAACACGTGGCTTCGTGTTAAAAGTTGTTTTTTTCTCTGCAAAAAGAATCGGAGAACTTGTTTACTGATTTATTTATTTTTTATTAAAAGCTTTGTGTGACAAATGCTATGCTAAAGAACTCAAACCACACCGAGCATCCGCCATTTTGAGAACCAAAAAAAGAAAAAAGAGACAGCCCATGTCACGTGAAGGGGCCTCCCTCCCATTTTTCTTAAAGAGACACGCTGCTCGCTCCCTCACTATCCATCCTTCGGTTTAAACAGTCTTATACTGCCACCCGGTGGTATTTTTTTTTTAACAAATTAAACCAAATTAGCCTACATTTCTTCTTAAATTTGACAATAATTAATTATTGTCAAATTTCAAACAATATCGTTTATCGCAATAATTTCTGAGACAATTAATCGTCCAGCAAAATTTGTTATCATGACAGGCCTAGTGTTTCCCTGGGACGGCTGTGGCTGAGTGGTTAGAGCAGTCGTCCTCCAATGCAAGAGTTGGGGGTTCGAATCCACCAGCAATCACATGCCAAAGTGTCCATGGGCAAGACACTGAACCCCTCATCGCGTCCGATGTGCGTCCCATCGGTGTATGAATATGATAAAGCTCTAATTAGTCTCTTTAGAATGATTTGTTCAATTAGCTTTGTAGAGATCTAGTAGAGTGCTGTATGAATGGGTAAATGAGGCACAGATTGTTTTGTAAAGCGCTTTGAGTATCTTGATTAGATAGCAAGGTGCTACATAAGTACAGTCCATTTACCATTATACAAGAAGGGTGCCCTGATCTGTCAACAAAACTGAGAGCCCCACCTACTGAACTGTCCTTCACCCACAAAAACACCCCACCCCTGTCGACAACTGCTGACACCAACATGGCGCTAGTGGCATGCAATACAGACGCGATAGCTAAAAAGCTACTGATATATTCATATACACACACACCGTGTTTCCACATTACTTGCTTTGGCAGGGTGCTCATATCTTCCATGATTTTTGTCAACGGGGGTGGAGGGTTAGACAATGGATCGACATGAAGGGTTAACAGAGGGCAACAGAGCGCTACCTCTAGCTTTTTAGCCAGAGCTTCTGTATTGTGTGCCGCTATGTCAGTGCTGGCAGTTGTCGATGGGGGTGGGGGGGCACTTGTATAATGGTAGAGATAAAAACGCAAGTGTCAGGGTGTCAGGTCGGGGACCTCGTCTAGAAGCATTGTCCTTCTGAGGTTTGTAACATGAAATGTTTGCTGGACTGGGGAGAAACCCTTTTTTATAAGGTCCAGATTTTTGCCACGCCCTGTTGCAATAGTCAAGCGGCTGTGCGTTCGTCATTTTCTTGTGAGAACATTCCGCCAATGTTGCGACAGTCGTGTATTAGTTTTGGCCACTTGAGGTGTAATTTCACAGGAAAGTTTGTACAACAAACGTGTCCAGTCAGTGGGTTTCTCAGTAAAGATGTCCATGTTTCACTTTTCTTTATTTTTTTGTTGAACTAGTCACTAACAAACCAAAAGAGTCCATGCTCAATAATCCAGGAATACAATCCAACAATTTTCAGTCGTAGAACAAACCAGTTATGTTGGTGCTAAAATGGTGTCTTTGGCACAACCCTCCTCTGGAGCCAGCCCTCTTCCTCGTCGACAGTCACGTCAAACTGGTTCAAAACCGTGACTGTCGACAAGGAAGAGGGCCGGCATCGGAGGAGAGGGCGTGCCAAAGACACCAACATAACTGGTTTGTTCCACTTTGGAGTAAGCTGTTGGGGGAAGAATCAGTTTTGTGTTGTCTGTTTCCTTAACTGATGAAGTCTTCCAGAAGGAAGGTGAAACTTTTCAGAAAAAAAAAAAAGAAACTGTCCAGAAGACCCGACTGAAAATTGTTGGATAGTCACCAACAGTTGAGCTTGAGAAAGATATAGACTTAAATGTTTATAAAATAGCAATAGCACAAAAGTCACAGCGATTTACAATAGCACTTCCACAGAAGGTTTTTGTGCTTTTTGTTGTGGAAAAAAACGATTACCTAAACAACCAGGTGTAAGCTTCATCAGATTTATTTACAAATCTTTGGAGAACAGCAAGCAGTCACAGAAGATCAATGCAATTACAAGTTCACACTTATCAATGCCTTCACCTGTCTGAGGCTTTGATCTGTTCTCCCAAACTGAATAAAGTTAGTTATGTAGGATCAACCTTCAACCACCCACCCTCACTGAGCTGTTATCAGCAGTCCCAGCTGCACACAGAGACACGTCAGGGAGTTGCTGTGAAGACAGAGACTCAAGGACTCTATCCTTACATGGAACATTTTAATTAGGGATGCACTGATCAACTTTTTACACTACCCATACAGATATCTGCTGTTTAGTATGGGTCGATACCGATCCAATACCGAACAGATACAGAAAAACAGTGCTGAATTCCATTCAACAAACTCAGCGTGCTCTTTAGGGTGAAATCCCTGGAGATACTGGATTAAGTTGGTAGTGTTATAATTGGAAGTTTTAGTGACACCCCTTAGAACCATCGCTGTGCACGTATTGCATGTAGCTGTCGAATGTGTTGGCTGAGGTAGTTTGAAATAGTTCCAGATGGCTGATCCTTTCGCTTGCTCCATTTTGAAAACAATCTGTGCGGTGAGTTCGCTAGCGCGTGATGTCGCTCAGAGCACAAAGCGTAGAATTAGAGTGAATAGATCTGCCCAGACATGGATCGGTCACATTGTCACCGATACCTGATCCAGAAGTTTTTTTGTTTTTTTTTAATATCGGGACAGATACCGATATTGGTATTGGATTGGTGCATCTCTAATGTTAATACCATTCTGGACTGTACTTATAGAGCACCTTTCTATCTTATCAAGACACTGAAAGCTCTTTACAACACAATCCGTGTCCTCTTTTACCCATCCACACAGCACTCTACTAGATCTCTACAAAGCTAATTGAACAAATCATTCTAAAGAGACTAATCAATGCTTTATCATATTCATGCACCAATGGGACACACATCAGAGGCAATGAGGGGTTCAGTGCCTTCCCCAGGTACACTTCGGCATGTGGCGGCTCGTGGAATCGAACCCCCAACTCTTGCATTGGAGGACGACTGCTCTTTTCATGCAAAGTTGGTAGTACTGTAAACAGTTATGTCAGAAAAAGTATATTATTGCAGGAAGTTTATTAGCATTAGCATAAAGTACCATGTAACTTTGGAGTGGTTGCTTTAAGGCGGCGGCAGTTTATTTTGTTCTTGGCCCAACTCAGACTCACCACAAGTTCGTAAATCTGCTCTGAATTTAGCGTCTCTCTAATCTGAGGTCATTTAATGAGCTACATCACAGCTAAGCCAAGAAATATTTATAATATTTCTACGGCTTTAGAGACAGAAGGGCTCTGTGTAACTGGTGCAACCGAAGCCCATGAGAGTAGACTACGGCATGCTAGTTTTGCCAAGATGGACGGACTCGGCTGATTTCATTAGAGCCCACTTACCCCCCAAGGCCCTTAGTGACGCTTCAGTCCTGAACCTTTACACAATCCTCTCTTACAGCGTTATTTCGCCTACAGATCAGCCGATATAATTCTAATATCTGGATGAGAGGTTTTACATGTTTTTAGCCGCAGACCCTGGTGAGACTTTTCCCAGAACAGGAGAAGTTAAACAGACTTATTAAAAACTATCTAAGAGAAAGGGACCCACCAGCTGCAAGCCTGAATCCATTTAGAGCTCGGCTCCCAGTCTCCCAGTTTAAGGGACTGATCCAGAATGTTTGAAAGATTTTCGTCATGTTTTTATGAATCTTCTACGTTTAACACGTTTGGAAAAAAGTATGTTAAATAGACGATGTTCAGCTTTATTCTATTTTAACGAATGGTATGGATGAGGACAAACTTCTTTGTACTCATATAATGAAGAAAAAAACTGAAATGACTTAAAATTGACAAAAGGAAACATTTAATGAACGTCAAATTAAAATCAGTTGGAATTTTTGAATGTTGGTTTGATAAAAATAATTTTGAAAATAAATGGAACTGGTCTTTACATCAAGATTTGTACAGCTGATGTAATAAGTTGTGGCCCAACAATCACTTGAGGCAACCGAGTGATTTTTGTAACTTTCTTTGAGACTCTCTGCCTGTCCACGGGTGTCCCGGTCCGCCTGTCCACGGGTGTCCCGGTCCGCCTGTCCA